TAGATAAATGTACATACAAATATATGCACATTCACAATATATGTACATATATTATATCATAAATACATTGTATATATGGACATATACTATATATTTATAGGCACATATACTTTAAATGCGTAAGTATATATCCACTCACAAAAACAACACATATACACACATACATACTCCACACACACACAGGAACTATTCAGCAAGCCACCGATGCCATAGACCGTATGATCCGTATCATCACACACTACGCACAGATGCTCTCATTACCAAACGCTAAACGACGCGCACCTGAGCAGTGGGTACCATCTGTGGAGCAAACGAGGAGTGATGAGGATGTATGTGCATATGGGCTGTGTGTGTATAAACACTAAACCCTTATGTAGATTAGTGTGCTTGTGTCCTGATGTGTTTGTGTGTGTGTTTAGGTCTTGGAGGTATTGTTATCCTGAAGTCCATCGCTACTGGTGCCATCCGTGCTGCAGACGGAGTGCGATGAGATTTGTGTGCGAGAGTGGGATGTGGAGTGGGATGAGATGTGTGTGTTAGAATTTATATACGTCGGTATAGGAGGAATTTTAGCGAGAACCTTCATTGCAGGACGGAGTCGGATGAGAACGTATGTGAGTGTGGGATGTGTGTGTTATATAGATTCATGAACGTGTACGTGTGAGAATGTGCTTATTCGTATGTCGATATGGAGATGGAGATGTATGCGCGAGTGGGATGTACGTACTATGTAGCAGGAGGACACCATATGTGTGTACTAATGTGTTTATTTGTATATTGGTGTGGAGATGGAGATGTATGGGCGAACGGGATGTGCGCATATAATACAAACAACACATACCAAACATTAGCAATCAATACAAGCAACATAAAATATAATATCATATGTAATAACAACAACATAGTTTATGCGATGACTTATTATAATAATATCATATACTTTCACGCCCTGTAGGTATCCCCACTGAAACAGGGCGTTGATCTAAAGTGGTTTGTATATGAGATGCTCAACCTAGTAGGGTGTCTTGAGGACGATGCCAGACACGCTTGTATGCACTTGACCTCGGCCCTGTGCCCTCACATATTGGGCACAAATGCGCCTGCACTCGGTTCCAAATATCTGGACCAAAAGGCACCTGTTACCGGTGCACGGGAGGCGCTGCGGGTGTTTCTGAGAGAGCGATGTAGTGCTAACGGTGGTAATGAATGGTTGGTGGCTGTGTTCGAACGAGGACTAAGGTACGCAGTACATGTATGTATTTGTGTGTGTGTTAATGTGTGCAAGTGTGAGTGTGCATGTTTGTGTTCACATCTGTGCATGTTTGTGAATGTATTAATGTGTGTATATGTATGTATATGCTGTTCGTATATATGTTGTTTATGTATGTATTAATGTTACGTGTGTACATGTGTACGTGTGCATGTCTGTGTTCATACATATAGATTTGATTTGGTGGTGTTAAGTGTATGAGCGTGTGTTTCTGTGAAACATTTTGGTGCATGTATTCTTCGTCCAAGCGATTAAATATCTAGATACTGACAATATAT